ATTCCTGCTCCGGCCTCCCAGGGCCTGGGCAGGAGAACAGCAGGCATGCACATCCCAGAAAGCCTCCAGGACCTGGCCGACAGTGAAGCCGTGCAGTTTCTCAAGAGGCCAAAGACGATCGCGCGGATCTTTGCAGGGGTGAGGCCCTCCTGTAGCCCGGCTGCCCCGTGGGTGACAGGAAGCAGGTGTCTCACCTCCCAGACCCAGTGCAGAGAGAGTAGGGGGGAAAGAAGGGGTTAGATGGGGAAAATGAAGCCAAAGGGAGCTCATAACAAAAGTCACCCTTTACTGAGCATCTAACTGTAGGCCCTGCGCTATTCTGAGCACTTATTAACTCTCCTGGGAAGAAACAGCCCTGCAAAGTGGGTGCTATGGAGCCCCATTTTTGAGAGAAGAAAACTGAGGATCAGAGAAAGTTAAATAATTTTTTTAAGGCTGTGCTGTCCGATTTGGTAACCACAAGCCACATGTGGCTATTCTAATCTAAACTAAATAAAATATTCAGGGAATTCCCTGGCAGCCCAGTGGTTAGGACTCTGCATTTCCACTGCAGGCGGCCCGGGTTCGATCCCTGGTGGAGAAACTAAGATCCCACAAGCTGCATGGTACGGCCAAAAAAAAAAAAAAAAGAAAGAAATCATTCCTCAGTCACAGTGGCCACATTTCAGCCTGGCGGCTCTCATATTGGACAGTAAGGATCTTGAACATTTTCGTCATGGTGGAAGGTTCCATTGGACAGCGTTGATTAAGTTCACACAGTAAGAGGCAGGGAATCAGACTGGGGTCTGTGAGATGCCAGAGCCCATTCATTTCCACCTCTCAGACAAGGGACCAGGAGAGGAGCAGGGGCTGGGGCCTCTGGGGGGAAAGACGCACAGAGGTAGGAAGAGAATAAGAATATGTAATGTAGACCTAAGATGCCAGAGGGTAGGTGGTCACTATGTGCCAGGCACAGTGCCAAGCAAGGGATTTACCTGCATTCATTTCATCATTACCGCATTCGCGAAGAGTCAAGACACCTGGGGTCAGATCCTCATTCAGCCCCCGACTTTGCTGTGTGACCTTGAGCCCATCACTACTCCTCTCTGGACCTCAGTGCTTGAGGAGTTAAAGCTGTGACTGTGGGCTTTACGCTGTGCAGCCTCCACGGCACTCCTCTGACAGAGTTGGGAACCGAGGCCCAGGGAGATGATGAGATTTGATCGGGGTCAGGAGAGTAGGTGGGGGATGCCTGGGATTGAATGCAGTGTCCTATTCCAGAAGGATCCATCCGGCCTGACTGAGAATCCTGATTCGACCACATGGTCTCCATGTAGAGCGACATCCTGCCCTGCTTGCCTGGGTTGGTCCTGGCGTAATTATCAGCGGCACCTCCTTTGATTCTCAAAAGTGCCCCATTTTATTTGATAACTTCCCTGGTGACCCCAGGTCTGTGTGACCTTGAGCAAGTGACTTGATTTGTCGGAACCTCCACACCCTCCTGTGTATAGTCCTTCCCGCTCACCAGGAAAGACTGTGTGTGAAAATGAAATCAAGGCCCCTAAACTGATTAGCGTGTGCCTGGCAAGTAGCCATCTTTCCTTCGCTAGTGATTATTATTGGGACCAACTTGTGATCGAGGAGAGAAGGATGGGTTTGGGGGCCAGAGGGTGGTGGGGACTCGTGTCCATCGTCGTTCTCACCCAAAGGAAGAGGTGAAAAACGCATTCCACATCCCAGTTCCAAGTCCCTCGCTGGCCTCGCTCTTCGGCTCCTCACCACGACCCTATGGCGTGAGCATCATTACACCTGTTGGACCCAAGGGGAAACTGAGGCTCACAGAGGTTGAGCGACTTGCCCAAGGACGTCACCCAGCTGGAGAGCGAGTCAGAAGGATGCACAGGCTTGGCTTCCGATGCTTCAGAAGGAAGGGCGGGTGGCAAGGGAGAAGGGGGTGGGGAAGGGCTGGGGGGAGGGGCCTCCGACTGTGCCAGACGTTTCAGTCACGGACTTTGCCTGCCACCTCCCTCCTCCCTCCCGCCCGCCCTCCCCTCCTTCCCCCTGACCCAGCTCCTCGGCAGGGAGTCTCTGGGCAGCTGGTCCTCCCATCCTTCGTCCTTCTCACGGCTGCCTGCCAGCTGGTGCCATAACTAATGAATCTTTGCTCCCTCCCTGGGGACAGGCCAGGAGGGGTGTGGAAGGAGGTCTGCCTCGGGCTTCAGAGGCTTAGGGTCTCTCTGGCCCAGCCAAGCCCCCTTCTTGCTTGTCCAAGGTTTTTTGGGTCAGTGGACAGACAGCCCGCGGGCCTGGAAGTCAGGGGGGCTGGATTCCAACCCCCTCCCCCCATGACTAACCTTGAGAGGACGCTTCCCCTCTCTGGCCAGTCATGAGAATTGACATCAGGGCCAGGCGTCTTTGCAGCACAGAGACAGACTGGGAAACTGAGGCTCCAAGAGGTGAGCAGTTTGCCCAAGGCCAGCCACACAGCTGTCGGAGTCAGACGCGGCTGGCTCTTTCCACTGCACAGTCACGGCTTTCGATTTATCACCTGTGAAAGGGCGATGGATTAGTAACCGCGACCACGCGGGGCCCCCGGGGCTGCAGGGAGGGGGCGAAGGTAAAATGAATCCGGGCTCAAAAATGATCAATGGGCCTTCCCGTCCTTGACCTGGCTCTGCCTCGGACCAGCAGGGCAAGACGCTCCCCTTCTGCGGACTCAGTGCTGCAGCCCTGAAACGGAACGGATGTGAATACCCTCCCTTAATGCTGAAGTGCTGGACAAAAAGAGGGACTAGTCATTATTATTGTTATTATCTGTTCTTTTTATTCAGAGAAGGCAATTAAGGCAAAGGAGAGAAGAGAATGGACAGGCCGTAGAGTTTAGGGGTCCATCCTCTGCCTCTCCCGTCCCCACTCTGAAGGGCAGCGCAGGAGCAAAAAAGAAGGGCCAAAGTCATTCACTCTTTCAACACATTTGCAGAGGTCCAGTCTGGTGCTGGGTGCTTGTTGTAGAGAGAAGGGGCCCACATGCACCCTGTCCGGGAGGAATTCAAATTCTAATGAATTACCTTCCCCTTGTCTCTTCCCTCCCTCCTGTCCGCAACACTACCACATCCAATCAATCACCAAGTCCAGTGTTGCGTCCTAAATATCGCTGGCTTCCCCAGAGCCCTGGCCTCAGCCTTTCTGCCTGGGCCCTCCCATCCATCATGACCAGGGAGATTTTCTCTAACTCCCTGTCTGACGCTGGCCATCCTCTGCTCAGAACCCTTCCATGCATAAAATTAAGTCCAAGCTAGAAAGTTAATTTTTGCCAGGGCTCCCAAGTCCAGGCCCCTTGGTGTGGTGTTCAAGGCCTCAGAGGGTTTGTGTTTGTGTTTCCAGCCTGTGTTTGTGTTTCTTGCCTGTGTTTCCAGCCTCACCTCACACCAGATCCCTCAGATGAGATCTGTCTCCAACCCCTGCAGGAGCTTCTCTCTGCAGCATCTGGCATTTGCACACATGGTTTGGCCTGCCTGGAATGCCCTTCCTCCTGTCTGCCTGCAAAACTCCTCATTCTTTTTTTTTTTTTTTAAGTTTTATTGGAGTATAATTGATTATAGTTGACGTTGTGTTAGTTTCAGGTGTACAGCAAAATGAATCAGTTATACCTATACATATATCCACTCTTTATTAGATTCTTTTCCCATATAGGCCATTACAGTCTATTGAGTAGAGTTCCCTGTGCTATACAATAGGTCCTTATTATCTATTTTATATATAGTAGTGTGTATATGTGAATCCCAAACTCCCAATTTATCACTCCCCAAAACTCCCCATTCTTTAAGGTGCAGTTCAGGTCTCACCTTACTTCTTCCTAAATCCGGCCCCCTGACTTCAGTTCCTGCTCAAACCTTGACTGTCTCCCTGAGCGTAGGCCCCAGCCTCCTCCCCAGACTCCCAGCCTCCAGTCTCACTCACTCCAGTCCACCTCTGCATGGCCCCACAGGGCTCTTCATACACCCGGAGCTGACCCTGCCCCTCCCCTGCTCTCAGCCATTCCATGGCTCCCTACTGACCCCCAGACAAGATCCCACTCCATAGCCTTTCTCACCCTGCAGCATTCCTTACAGGCCTCACCGCATCCAGAAAGCCCTCCTGGACCAGCTCCCACCCCCATCACATACACACACCGGTTCCTTCCATATCTGGTGTGGCCCCTGCCACGCTGCATTGTGACCATCTGGGACAAATCGCTGGGGCTTCAGATCGTCACTGAATCTCATTGATGGGAACCTCTGCCCTCGGGGCTTCTGGTCCAGCCGGTGGCAGCATATACAGCAGGGGTTAAAGCAGATTCAGGAGCCAGACAACTTGGGTTCAAATCCAGGCACTGCCTGTCACTAGCTGACTGACTTTGGGCCACTCTTCACCCTCTCTGTGCCTCAGCTCCATTATCTAAAAAAACGAGGGTGTTAATAGTGCCCGCATCCTAGAGTGGTTGTAAGGATGACACAGGCTAGTGCTTGTGGAGTACATCAGTGGTTTCATAAATGAACAGGGTTAGGTGGACAGTGGTACCCCTGTGTGCTATGTGCAGTGTGTGCACAGACAAAGGTGACAGGGCTAGCATATCGGTGAGGCTGCATTTGCTTTTTTTTTTTAATTTAATTTATTTATTTTTGGCTGTGTTGGGTCTTCGTTGCTGCGTGCGAAGACCTAGTTTCTCTAGTTGTGGAGAGCAGGGGCTACTCTTCATTGCAGTCGCAGGCTTCTCATTGCGACATCTTCTCTTGTTGCGGAGCCTGGGCTCTAGGCACACAGGCTTCAGTAGTTGTGGCACACAGGCTCAGTAGTTGTGGCACACAGGCTTAGTTGCTCCACGGCATGTGGGATCTTCCCGGACCAGGGCTCAAACCCATGTCCCCTGCATTGGCAGGCGGATTCTTAACCACTGTGCCACCAGGGAAGCCCTGCATTTGCTTTTTTTTTGGCTGCGCCGTGTGGCATGTGGGATCCTAGTTCCCCAACCAGGGATCGAACCCGTGCCCCCTGCAGTGGAAGTGAGGAGTCACCACTGGACTGCCAGGGAAGTCCCAGGCTGTATTTGCTTTTAAAAAAAAAAAAAGCCTTGGGAGTTCCCTGGTGGCCTAGTGGTTAGAATTCAGCTCTTTCACTGCCGTGACCCAGGTTTGATCCCTGGTCAGAGAACTGAGATCCCACAAGCTGTGTGGCGTGGCCAAAACAAAATATATTTAAAAAAAAAAAAAAAGCCTTGAAGCAAAAGGTGAATGTTCATTAGGTACTGAGTGTTTATTACACTTCTCTCTGTACGTTTCTGTGTCTTTGGAATATTTCACAAATTCCTTTTTTTTTTTTTGCGGTACGCGGGCCTCTCACCGCTGTGGCCTCTCCCGTTGCAGAGCACAGGCTCCCGACACGCAGGCTCAACGGCCATGGCTCACGGGCCCAGCTGCTCCAGGGCATGTGGGATCTTCCCGGACCGGGGCGCGAACCCATGTCCCCTGCATCGGCAGGCGGACTCTGTGCCACCAGGGGAGCCCCCCCACAAATCCCTTTTTTAAAATGGAGAGGAATTAGTGGAGCTGGGAGAGAGGAGGAAGAAGTGGCTGCCAGAGGGAAAGACGAAGGCAGAGAGAATCAACAGGACAGCAGATACTTATTGCGCTCTCTTCCCGAATCCCGGGCATGGTGCATTTCATATTGGTACTGGGGTTTGGGGGCAGAAGGCGAGCGTGAGCGAGGCAGGGGTGAGTGGTGGGGGAGATGAGGGGCTGGGACTCTGTCCTTGGGGTGCTAGGGAGCCATGGGGGTGCGGGGCTGGGAGCTGGGAGGGGCAGGCTGTGGAAAGAGCCCCTGGGGGGCCGTGTGGGGAGACCAGGAGGCAGGGAGGCCGGGGAAGAGGCTGGGGCAAGGGCCCAGAGGGGAAGATGAGGCCTGAGCTGCGATGGAGGACAGGGGCCGAGGAGCAGTGCGAGGATGGCTCTGGGAAGCTCTGCGGACGTGACCGGGAGGGCGGGGTCAGAACCACCGGGAGGGCGCACGGCAGAGCCCCCACGCCCAGTGATGGGGACCCGCCCGGGAGGATGAGCAGGCCTGGGGAGGCGCTGAGCGCCGCCCCGGCCCCGGGGGGCCTCCGTCCCGCACCCACAGGTCTTCTCCCTCATCGCCTTCTCTTCCCTGCTGACTGACGGCTACCAGAACAAGACCAACTCTTCGCAGCTGCACTGCGTCCTCAGCAGCAACAACGCGGGCTGCAGCTTCGCTGTGGGAGCTGGCCTCCTGGCCTTCCTCAGCTGCCTGGCCTTCCTCGCCCTGGACGCCCATGAGGGCCTCATCACCAGCAGCCGCTTCAAGACGGCCTTCCAGCTCCTGGACTTCATCCTGGCCGGTGAGCCCCCCGGGCACTGCCCTCGACCACCCAGCCGGCCCCGACCGTCCTCCACACGTGACCCAAAGCTTTGCCCCTCACTTCTCAAAGCTCTTCTGCGCCCGCTGTTTCCTCCCGGGGAATCATTGCCCATCCCTTAGACTCAGGGTAAGGGTCATCTCTTCTGACCCCCAGACCAGTTCTAGAAGCCTCTCTCCTGCCCAGCTTTTTCCTCGCATTCACCTCCCTTCTTCACAACCTTTCTTGAAAAGCCACCGGTGGCAGTGGCCAGCGGTAGGGTGCAGAGCGCAGTCAGACCCAGGTTTGAATTCTCACCTCTGGCGCCTCCTCAGTGTGTGGGTTTTCTCCCCTCTCTGAGCTTCTGTAGAAGCTGGGATGAAAACTCCCACCTTCAGGGTTTTTCTGAGGATGAAGTTCGAGAAAGGACTCCTGCAGTGATGTTGACATATCCCCTGGGCATATCCCCTGTGTCACCTGTATCACCGCTTCAAGAGCTCCCCATGCCTGTCTCATTTCTTCCTCAGAACCACCCAAGGAGGGAAGTCCTGTTCAGATTCCTATTTCACAGAGGAGGAAACTGAGGCTTGAGGAGGTTGTGTAATGGCTGCCGAGTGGCAGATCCAGGCTTCCAAGCCAGGCCTGGCCTCCTAACCAATGCCGAGCACCCTAGATAGAGCCTGGCACACAGTAAGCGCCAAATAAATGCTCGTTCCTTTTCCTCAGACCCCAGGCTCCTCCCTCTCCTTTTCTGCACCTGCCCAGTTCCAGCAACTTAGGGCTGGGAGGGCCCCTAAAGGTCACCGAGTCCAGTGCTGTCCAAGAGAAGGTTCTGTGAGGATGGGAATGTTCTGTGCCTGGACTCTCCAACACAGGAGCAATGGACCACGTGTGGCCGCCGAGCACTTGAAGTGTGGCCAGTGCCACCAAGGGGTGGAATTTTTTTAAATTCTATTTTAATCGATTGGAATTTTTGATTGAGTGAAATATAAAAAGCTGCAAGTGGCTGGCGAGCCCCGTAGTGGACGGCACACCCCACTCCAGGGGTTGTTTTGCGGCCGGCTGGGAGGGAGAGGCCACGTCAAGACCTGAGGCCCCAGCCACCCTTCCTGAGCCTCTCTCCCCAACTCACGCCCCCCCCGCCCCTCTTCTCTCCCTTGACCCCCCCAGCCCTCTGGGCAGGCATTTGGTTCGTGGGATTCTGCTTCCTGGCCAACCAGTGGCAGCATTCGCTGCCCAGACAGTTCCTCCTGGGGAGCAGCAGTGTCAAGGCCGCCATCACCTTCGCTTTCTTCTCCATCCTCGTCTGGGTGAGGAGCCTCCTCCCTGCAGGGCGGGGTGGTGTGAGTTAAGAGGCCTAGAACCTTCCACCCAGCTCCCCAGGACCTCCGCAAGCCCCTTTTGTGACCTTGGGCAAAGAGGGAAGGAGGCGCCCCTTCCTCCCAGCAGACGCAGCCCAGTGTGGGCATCATCCAGTGAGCTGTGGCACAGCTCCCGCCTGGGCCGACCCCACCCAAGCCAGCCTCCAGCTCACCCTCCTCTGCCCACAGATACTCCAGGCCTACCTGGCCCTCCAGGACCTCCGAAATGATGCTCCGGTCCCCTACAAGCGCTCCCTGGACGACGGCAGCGTGGTGGTGACCTCTCTCTCCCCGCTGTCCGCCACCAGCCCTGTCAACACGCCCACCACCGGTCCCCACAGCCTGAGCTACACCAGCTCCGCCCTGTCCCCCCATCTGACCACTCCGAAGGCCCCCCGCCTCACTATGATGCCCGACACCTAGACAGCCTCATCCACACCAGTAAAGAGAGACTCCTCCCTCCAGAAGGGTTTCTGAAAACTGCCCTCTGTCCTTCTCATATCTCTTTCTCTCTAGTCCCTCGAGTGCCCAGGGGAGGGGGGAAATCCTATGGGGTCTCCTCAGGGGTCTCTGTAGCGGGCCCCACTTCCGACCCACCTCCTGGACTGTCCCTCTGGGCGCCACCTTGATAGCTAGGGGCGGCGACGGGAGGGAAACCCTTTTTTCAGGCCTGTGACACAGCGAGCCCTTCACTCCTTGCACTGGCCACGGGAGGGAGGCACGAGGTGCCCCACTGTACAGCTGAGGAAGCTCAAGTTCAGAGACAAGATGCTTCCGCCCAAGGAGAGGGCTCTAAGGAGAACCAGGGCCAACACTGGGACCGGCCCTGTCTCCAGGGCCCACATCCTTTAACTCACCCCAGATGACAAGGGACCCACTCAGACCCATGCCGTGGGAGGAGTGGTTAAAGGAACAGGGGATGGCAAGTCCATGACTGAGGTCAGGGGAGATCCTTGTCTTCAAATATTTGAAAGCTTGTCTTAGGGAGCCCCCAAACTAATCGGGGACTCGTGCTTGGGCCACAAAACGCTCCTGCCTGCAGGGACCCAGCAAGTAACTCCGGTGGGTGAACCACCCATGAAGCAAGTGGTGGGGCAGGGGCCGAGTCTGGGAAGGGGCAGCCTTCACTCAGCACCCAGCGTTCAGTACCACAGCCCAGGGGTGTCCAGAGCAGCGCTGTCCAGGACTTTCCTAGTGGCCTGGCGGTTAGGACTCCACGCTTCCACTGCAGGGGGCACAGGTTCGATCCCTGGTTGGGGAACTAAGATCCCACATGCCATGATGCAGCCAAAAAAAACAAAATTATAGAGCAGCGCTGTCCAATGGAAACAAAGTGTGAGCCATGGGGGGCAGCATTTAAACTTGCCAGCTGGCCACGTGAAGAAAAGTAGAATGAAACAAGTGAAATGAATTTTCATATATTTTATTTAACCCAGTATATCCAAAATATGATCATTTTAACATGTCATCAGTATAAAAAATTACTAGCCAGGTAGCTTACATTCTACTGCACTAAGTTTTTGAAATCCTTCACCTAATTTACAAGGACAGCACATCTCAATTTGGGGTCACCACATTTCAAGTGCTAATGGTCACCATATTGGATAGTGCCGCTCTAGAACCTTCTAGTTTTTCTAGAACAACCGGACATCCGTTTCTTTTTATGTGGAATTAGTTGGCAAGGAATACAAAAAAAAAGCTTAATGTTATGCTGGCCAAACCAAACACACCCACACAGGGGCCACAGTGGCTGCAGAGCATTCATTTACAAACTGGGAAAAGCTGTGTGAGTTGTGGGGAGGCAAATGTGGGCTCCGTGGTCCCCTTTTTTGGTTTCCTGTGTGGCAGTGCTCAGTGCTCAGGGTGCACAAAGAAGTAGGCCGTGGTCCCTGTGGGCACTGGAGGAAACGGCAGTCATGCGGTGGAGTGGGCAGGGTTCCGGCATGGCAAACGGGAGGACCCAGAGCTCTGATCCTCTCTCTGTCACTAGCTGGATCACCTGGAACGTGTCACTGAATCTCTCTGGGCCTGAGCAGGGCTGGCTGTCAAACTAGAGACTTGGACCAGATTTACATTGATGGTTTGAGGGCTGCGTTCAGAGAGGTGCCCCCTCCCGACCCTGCTCCTGCATTTTCCATATGAGGCTTCTGGACAAATTCCTCTAAACAGAAGGTCCGTTGGCTTAGCTTACAAGAAAGAAAAAAACCTTTGAAAAACCCCACAGCAGTGGCTAAACATACAGGATCCAGCAGCAGGAAGCCAGGGTACCAACCCCACCCCTGTGGCTCACCCAGCTAAGCCTCGATTCCCTCCACAACAAAGTGAGGGTGCTCTGAGGGTCCCACGAGCTCACCCGTGTAACGCACATTGCCTGGCGCTTATGAGACGCTCGGAAACGCCAGCTACCTGCCTCCTGAAGCTTCCAGAGCCATCCTACGGCAGAACTGGAGGCGGCTAAGGAAAGTCTCAGCAGACATCTAGGGCATTTGGCGAAATCGGGGCAAAACTCCAAAAGGTTACAAGGGCCAAGCAAGTAAACCAAGTGAAGGAAACAGGCCAGGTGTGAAGCCAATCTGGAGGGAAACACGGAAAAGATTTGACTTTCCTTTGAACTTCACAAAACCACAAAACAACAGCGTCAGCCCAGTAAGAGATGGTATCAACCCCTCAGCCAAGTCCTGGGGACTCAGTGGTGGAGGGAGGGGAAACTCATGTCCCAGCCATTCACTCCAGCCATCTGCTGCCACCCAGACACAAGGACCCGGCATTGTCAAATTGATGGAGTTTTTTTCAAGAGAAACCAGAAATCCCGATTTTAATGTGAAAATCTGGTTTTTAAAGGCTGGCAACCAATTCCATTTTTTTTTTTTTTAAGAAAACATAAAGCAGTTTAATACAATACAAAATGATGGGGGGACGGGGGCTGTCCCTTGGTGACTTTCAAATCACAGGCTCTTGGAGGTTGTCCTCTGCAACCCTTAGATTAGGGAGAATTGTCAGGGAAGTTCTATGCCAAGATAAGAAGAATCTTCGAGATTTTTTTCCTCCACAACCTCTTCCCTGGTGGAGTCATGAGGAGTCAGGGTGCAGCTCAGAGTCTCAGGAAGCCCAGTTTCTCATCTCCCTGCTCCTCTCAGGCCTGGATCGCCTGCAGATGGCAGATGGGATAAAGCAGAAGCAGAGAGAGGGGTCGGGGTGCCGGGCGGACCCCACAAATGCCAGAGAGAGGGCAAGGAGTAGCCAAAGAGAGGCATCGTTTTCCTCAGTTTATTTCAAGAGAACAAAGAATCAACCATCAATTCTGTACAAAAACATGGCCATAGAGCCACGGTGACCCTTGGGCCAACCCCCTTCCCATGCGCCCCTAAATTGCCAAAAAACAAGGACATGACCAAAAAACCCAAACTCTGGAAAAAATTATTATGAAAAATTAGGGGAGAACTTCCCTCCCCTCTTCCCTCTCCCCAGTGCAGAAGTTTGTGGGGGCGGGGGCGATGGGAGGTTGTGTCCATGACAACGGTGGGAGGTCTGGCAGGCGGGTGTCGGCAGATTTAGTGTTTGGCAACCAGTGGGGCTGAAGGGTTAGGATCCAGAAGGAAGCCAGGGGGCTCGGGGGAGGGAAAAGATCTCCAACCCCGCCGTGCCCCACAGGACACTCGAAAACAGTTTATAAAAATTGGGGCCAGAGAGTAGAAAAGAAAGGAGTCATCAGAATCAAAACCTAAATAGTGGAAAGATTTTTTTTTTTTTCTTCTCTAAAAGGCAAAAAAACTACAAACAGCCCAGGTCCTGAGCTGCCCCAAGACTTGGGTCCTCCACTGCCCCCTGAAACCTGGCAGGAGCAGGGCTGGGGAGTACCGAGAGGTGGGTTCTTAAAAAAGTTCCCCTGGATGGGAAGGCTCTTCGTCTTTCGTCGCCTTCCTCTGCCTCTCACAGCTGCCCTGAAGCGGGATGGCGAGGAACAGGGCTACGCCGGCAAACTCAGCTTCTTCCCCTTGAGGACTGGGGGGAGAGAAAGGGGAGCGGGCATGAGCAAGGGGTCCCTCGCGGAGGGGAGAGCCTCCCACGCCCACAGCAGGGGCTTGGATGCTGGGCTGGGCAGAGATGCAGGAGGGGCAGCCCCAGGACTCCGGATTATCAGCTGGGGGTGGGGCCTGGGACCAGGCTCCCGGCCTAGGGGCTGAGCCATGGAGCCCCGGACGAGGCCCCATTTCCCCTAATGCTGGCTGCTCCCCTTCCATCCTGGAAGCGCTGGAGGCCTTGGCTCTCGGGGGCGCTGGGGTCAGAGGGCCCGGCAGGGCTGGCTGGGCGAGACCACCCGCTTCTGCCCTCCCAGCCTTAATCCTCAGGGGGCGTGGCTGCCTTCGGCCTCTGTCCTCCTGTCTCCTCTTCCCTTCACACTGACTGACTGAACTTCCAAGGTCTTTGCTTTAATCATCGTCTCTAAAAGGCCTCCCCCCACCACACCCTCTCCATGTAAAGTAACCCCCTCACCCTCCACCATTGTTCACCAACACGTCCCTGGTTTCTTTCTGTCACTGCCCTTCTCACTGTCGGCAATCATCTCTCTTGTTTATTCACCACCTCCCCCGACTACAATACAAAGGGAGAGGAGGGCCTTGTCCATCTTTTCTCCTAAGCTTGTATCCCCAGAGCCTAGCCCCGGCCAGGGACATAGAGAGTGCTCCAGAAATTTGTTGGTTGAATGAATGAATGAATCTTGGTGGGCCTGAGTCCCTGAGGGTAAGGACAGAGGTCCCTGAGCAGAGAGGAGGCCCTCCCTTCTCTGAGCGCTGCGGGGGCCTGGGAGACGGGAATTCTGGATCTGTCACGGGTGTGAGACTGAAAGACTTTGGATGTGGAACCTTGGGGCAGGAGGAGGGCTTAGGACACATTCCAAGAGAGGAAAAGTCAGAGGCCACCCCTGCCTGCCCCTCTCTTTGTCCTGTCTTCCCTCGAGGGATACAGGGCTGGGGAGATGAAGCTGGGGCCCCAGGGAGGGTGGGAGCTGGGGCAGGAGCAGGCTCCCTACCAGCCGGCCCCCCACGCCGGCTACCTTTGGTGATGTAGAGGTAGAAGAAATCACAGTAGAGGACCGTCTGGACCAGGCCTGCCACGATGGCGATGAGGTCGAAGAAGCCTTCGAAGTGGTAGCGCCAGATCCAGTTGAAGAGATAGAGCGTGCGGTAGACACCCAGCGCAAACAAGTAGTGGCTGGTGATGGTCTCCGCCTCGCCTGTCTTGCTCACCATGAACAGCTGCGGCAGGATGGCCACGGACTCCAGGTAGATGGAGAAGGTCCAGAGGATCTGCGGGGAGGCCGGGGCGTGGGAGCAGAGGGCAGGACGAGGAGGGGACAGGGCAGAAGAGAAGGGTGAGGATGGCGGACATTGTGGTTACAGGTGCAGTGATGTTGGAGAGTG